TTTAATGAACTGTTTTCAAAAATCGATGAACTTTTTTTCAAATTTGATGAACTAATTTCAAAATTGATGAACTTTTTCTAAATTCGATGAACTTTTCTCAAATCCGATGTACTTTTTTTCAAATTTGTGAACCTTTTCTCAAATGCGATGAACTTTTTTTCATAAACGGGATGAACTCTTTTCAAAATCCATGATCTTTTTCCAAATTCGATGAACTTTTTTTAAATCTATGAACTTTTTTCAAATTTGATGAACTTATTTTCAAATTCAATAAACTTTTGTTCAAGCTATAAAGTAAAACGTACAATATTCAAGAAATTCGAAAATACAAGTTATAGAGTAAACTGTACTATTTTGTACAATAAATGGCGCGACTCTTATGGTTCTTATAGAGTTCGCGTTTGATTTTTTTCGCTAGTCATCTGATGCTGTACTGGATAGCTGAAAAATCCCGTTGCCTAGCTGCGCGAGTTCGAATCGTGGTTTTACCACATTTTGGCTTTCTTTTTTCACGCGACCTGCTCGCTCCGTGTGTGGGCCGGCCCACTTGGCGCTGCCAGTAGGCGCCGGTTCGCTTCCCTGGCGCCGAACGCTCTGAATAGGAGCTCCCTCCCATATGAAGGCAGCTCAGGAGTCAGGATATATTATTTTCTTTTCTGTAGAACATTAGTGAATACTAACCTGTAGTTTAAAGCTGCACCCGAGCAAAGAAAAACATGTATCCTGAATTGCCTTCATATCTATCCTGGCTAATGTTCATGAATTTGAAATTAATTGTGAATTTTAAAAATATCTTAAATAATATGAACAAATTAAATAGTTCAAGAATTTTAGAAAATGTTTATGAATTTCAAAAAGATCCTGATTTTTAAAAATATTCACAAATTTCAGAAATGTCTATTACTTTTAGGAAATGTTGGAAAATTTAAAATTGTTCACGATTTTTTCCAAAATACTAAAATTATAAAATTGTTCACAAAAATTTATAAATATTTCAAGATTTAGAAAAAAATCGCAAATCTGAAAAATGTCTGCCATTTTTAAACTGTAAAAGTAAAAAAGGAAGAATAAAAAATAATGCAGAGGAAACTGATTAAAGAGAAAAATAAAACACAAAAATTGATAAAATAGTCAAGGAAAGATTCAAAAACGATGGGAAGGAACCACCGAATTAGGACGGTCCAATAGCACGATATTTTCTGTTATTGGTCCAACAAAGACCACTACGCTTGTAGTTTGCTTTAAACCAACCAAAACACAATATTTTGAAAGCAGCTCCTATAAAAATGCCGCAAAGGCTATATCTCCCTTGTAGCGAGGCTTCCTTCGGTATCGCCTGAAGCGTCTATACTGTGGGCCAGCCCATCCGTGCATACTTAAAGGAAATAGACTAGAGAAAAAAAAAGGTCACGCCGGAGACAAACCCAGGATCTCTCGGTTGCAGCGCAGGGCAGTTAGCCACGACATTATGAAAGAAAAAGAGCCGGTTTACCATTGTTTCTCATCATTTTTCTTCGTTCTTTCTCTGTTATATTGAGTTCTTTTCCCCCCTTTTTTCACTAGATTTTTTTATATTTTCTTTCTTTTTTCTCCGGTTCTTTTTTCCTTGTTTTTCGTTGGTTTTATTTTGGTTTCTATAGGGTTTTCATTTTTTATACACATTTTTTTTGCATAATCTACTACAGTTCTTTTACTTTTTCAAATACAACTTTAAAATTTACTGAATACTCGGTCACCATATTTTCTACATACATTTAACATTGTTGAAATACTGCATTAACATTTCTTCTATACACATTTTATATATTTTTAAAAATCTTGATTAACATTTTTAAATACAATTTCATTTTTTAATACATGGTCAACATTTTTCCTATACATATTTACCATTTTTTAGAATGCTTGTTTAACATTTTACAAATACAAGCTTAACATTTTTTTAATACAAGGTCAACACTTTTTCTATACACATTTATCATTTTTTTTCAAATGCTTGTTTAACATTTTTCCAAATACTAGTTTAACATTTCTTCAATAGATGGTCCACATTTTTTCTATATGCATTCAACATTTTCTTCAAATGCTTGATTAACACTTTCCAAATACAACTTTAACTTTTATTTCAATACATGATGCCAGAAGATCACTGTCTCTGGTCTTTGTTCCCTTTTCCTTCAATTTTTTTCTTCCATCCGTCCGTCTCGACTTGGCAACCGAGTTGGGAGTGGGGCACCTTTTTCTTTCCTCGCCACTTGATGCATCATCATGAACAACAACAATAGTGATATTTCCAACGAACTCTTCCTCTTATTAGGAATTTCAAATAACTCATGGCTCTTCCACTTCTCGTTTTCAAGCTCCTTCCATCAATAGTGCAACATGAATGATTTTCCTTTCTTCTTGTCACCACTCTTAATTTCCTCTTCACTGGAACAAACCTTGAGCAATCATGAGCTACATACCATAATTAAGAAAAGAAGTTAGGCATATGTACAAACTAAATGAGCAAGCATGATCTACATACTACACCTGACAAAGGAATTGATGAATAAAGCAAGCAGTGGTGGAGCTTAGTGTAGACCAACAGGGGCCATGGACCCTCCTTAATTTGTGCATTCATTGAAGAAAATGCTAGACTTTAGGAGCAACTAGTGTTTCAACTAGAGATTAGCCCCTCCTTTCCTATTAATTGCCCTCCTTCAAGTCATGGCCCCCTCTTACGTTTTGCACAAGCTCTGCCACTGTTAGCAAGCAAACACCTTATCATCATGGTTGCCACCACTTGGGTTCACGTGGGCGACATTTGTCAAGCAAGCCGACCACTTTTGACATTCCGCGGATATTTGTGGACCATCAGTGGAGGAGAGAAGCGGTAGATCGGCCATAGCCACTATTGTTGTGTGCATAAAAGAACTCTTTGATCCGCACCCAACATGTGCTCATTTGTTGCTCACTTTCGACCGACCGCATCAATAGAAATCTTCTTTCAAGCCAGTGATAACAACATGTTTTGATCGTTTTAGTAGTTTGCCCCTCTTCCCCTAGGAGTTGCATCAAGAAAACCCTCCTCCTCCATGTCAAGAAGCCCATCATCATATCATGTTTCATATTCTTGAGAGACAACATCTTCATTTGCAACATTTGCATATTGCAAAAAAAGTGTCATCGTCAACACTGCATGCACACAAAATTGAATATAGACACACATCAAATTACAATTGCAAAACTGAATATAGGCACACAAAATTTTATCTCCAGCATTTAAAATTGCATTCAATATTGAAAAACAATATAGAAAACAAAGAGAAGAATTATTTGTTACCTTTTGCAGACATTTCATCGAACAAGATGTGGACGACCGTCGTGGTCACGACGGGTGACGTCGACTCCTACTCCACAAGCGGTGACGGGACGAAAGGGGTAGGAGGAGGATGCACCACCGCTGCAGCTGCAGTAGCCAGCGACATGTCGCCTTCTTCGACCATGAAGCAACCAAGGCGGGTCACACGGCGGGCTCTTCATGCCGCCTCTTGGCTTGGACACGACGACCTTCTTCAGAGGCAGCGCTTCCATTGCGGCCGCAACGGCTGCTTGTGGGGCGGTAAAACCGCTGCCGCGAGTAGGGACAACCATGTCGGCGACGGGAGGAATGGCAGGAGGGAGAGCTGGAGTTTGGTTTGCGGAAGTGCCCTGTATTTGCAGCACTTTATGATGTTTTTTGGCTGCCAAAAAGTATTGGAGCAAATTTTACATCCAGGACAGTTGCTGAAGCAACTTTTTTTATCTCGAATATATACACACACAATTTTATCTCTGTTGATGCGGTCGATCGGCCATAGCCACTATTGTTGTGTGCATAAAAGAACTCTTTGAGCCGCACCCAACATGTGCTCATTGGTTGCTCACTTTCAACGACCGCGTCAATGGAAATCTTCTTCCAAGCCACTGATAACAACACTCTTGACCGTTTTAGTAGTTTGCCACTCTTCCCCTAGGAGTTGCATCAAGAACACCCTCCTCCTCCATGTCAAGAAGCTCAGCATCATATCATGTTTCATATTCTTGAGAGGGCATTTCTTGAGAGACAAAATCTTCATTTGCAACATTTGCATATTGCAAAAAAGTGTCATCGTCAACACTACATGCACACGAAATTGAATATAGACACACAACGACTTACAATTGCGAAAATGAATACAGGCACACAAAATTTTATTTCCAACATTTCAAATTGCATTCGACATTGGAAAACAACACAAAAAACAAAAGAGAAGAATTATTTGTTACCTTTTGCGACATTTCATCAAACAAGATGTGAACGCCCGTCGTGTTCACGACAGGTGACGCCGACTCCTCATCCACAAGCGGTGACGGGACGAAAAGGGGTAGGAGGAGGACGCACCACCGCTGCGCAGCTACAGCAGCCAACGACATGGCCTTCGCCTTCTTCGACCATGAAGCACCCGAGGCGGGGGCACACATCGGGCTCTTCACGCCGCATCTTGGCTTGGGCACGACGACCTTTTTCAGAGGCGTCGCTTCCACTGCGGCCGCAACGGCTGCTCGTGGGGCGACAAAACCGCTGCGGCGAGTAGGGACGGCCATGGTGGCGGCGTTTGGTTTTGCGGCAGCAGCCAAAGCGCCCCACATTGGCAGCACTTTATGCTGTTTTTTGGCTGCCAAAAAGTATTGGACCAAATTTTAGATCAAGGACAGTTGTTGAAGAACCATTTTTTATCTCGAATACCCCCCCAAAAAAAACAGTAATACCCTCCTATAGCAGCTATTGGATTAGATACGCTCTAGCTTCACTATTTTTCCACACGCAACGATCAGCCATGTATTTGGAGCACCTAGCATTTGAATTCGGCAGCCGTTGGAGGTGGGCCCCCCATGTCTGGTCGCCCGGCCCCACGTGCGTCTCCCTCCCCCCTCCCCCAATTCGAAATCGAGATCGCGGGGAGGACAACCGAAGCCAAACAAAAAAAGCGGCCCCCTCCATGCTCCCCACCACCTCCATTCAAAATCGCACCGCCGCTGCTCTCCCCCCACACTCACCCACTCACTCACTCCCCCCGAGCTCAGCTCAGCTCAGCTCAGCCCGAGAACCAGCAGGCACCACCGCCGCTCACACACCACAGGAGGAGGAGGAGGAGGAGGCCGCGATGGGCGAGGTGGTGCTCATCTCCCGCCCCGGCGACGGCTGCGGGGGCGTGGGGGAGCGGAAGGCGGACCAGCAGGAGCGGCAGGGGCAGGTGCTGGAGCTGCTGCTCGCCGCGCTGCGCAAGTCGGTGGCGCTGCCGTGCCAGATGGCGGACGCCGACGACCCGGCCGCCGGCGCGGGGGCCTGGGGGATGGACATCGGCTGGCCCACCGACGTCCGCCACGTCGCGCACGTCACCTTCGACCGCCTCCAGGGCTTCCTCGGCCTCCCCGTCGAGTTCGAGCTCCAGATCCCCTGCCCAGCGCCCAGCGCCAGGTAGCTTCCTCCTCTTCTTCTCCTCAAACCGACCGGCCGGATTCTTTCTTCTAGATTACTGTTTGCCTGCTGAGCCGTGCGTGCCCCGGCGAGGATGAGGATTCGGTTCAGATTTCAAATGCGTGTGCTTCCTTTCCGGCCTGCAGCGCCAGCGTCTTTGGGGTGTCGCCGGAGTCGATGCAGTGCGGCTACGACGACAGGGGGAACTCGGTGCCCAAGATCCTCCTGCTCATGCAGGAGCGGCTCTACTCCCAGGATGGCCTCAAGGTAGCACAACTGCGCAAGCAATCCATTACTCTGCTCCTCTTTGCTAGCTGAAACTTAATCAAATTTGGAGCCGAGCAAATGTGAAGCTGAGTGTGTTCCTTGTTGAAGTCGATGTTGTTCACTGATCTGTGTGGATGGAATCGATGATGTGTATGCAGGCAGAAGGGATCTTCCGCATCACCCCGGAGAACAGCCAGGAGGAGCATGTCAGGGAGCAGCTGAACAGGGGTGTCGTGCCTGACGACATCGACGTCCACTGCCTCGCTAGCTTGATTAAGGTACTCATTGTTTACTGTAGGAGCTTCTGGTGCTCAATGACTTTCCAGATTGCCCTGTATCCATTTTGTGCAAGCAGAGTCCGATAAATAGGTTTATGAGATTAGTAGTGCAAAGAAATGTGTAATAAAATCCTTAGTGAACATCTTCCATGGGTACAGCCATTGGTATCCATTTTTATGCCCAAGAGTGTATTGGTGTACTCCTAATTAACTACTGTAGCTTCCTGACAGCAAGAATGCTACTATGATACTGATAAATAATTAACATCAATTTCCTCACACTTTTAGTCTATGTTTTTTTCCTTCAAATGCTACTATGTTTTTTGCATTGTCAAACATTTGGCCCTTCTGCCCGGCGAAAACATCGGGGTTAATTATGTTGTGCGATTCGATCCAGGCCTGGTTCAGGGAACTACCCGAAGGTGTGCTTGATAGCCTCTCACCAGAGCAAGTCCTGAACTGCAACACCGAGGAACAATGTGTGGAGCTGGTGAGCCATATTCCTGTAACACATGCTGCACTGCTCAGCTGGGTCGTAGAGCTCATGGCCGATGTCGTCGAAGAAGAGGAGTCAAACAAGATGAATGCCCGGAATATCACCATGGTTTTCGCACCCAATATGACACAGGTACTGATTTGCTTGCCACATTTCCCTTGTTTGAAAACATTTCTTGTTCACACAGTTGCTAACATAGGCGAATGCTTTTCTTGCAATCAGATGTCAGATCCTCTTACTGCTCTGATGCATGCTGTTCAAGTCATGAACTTGCTCAAGACCTTGGTTCTCAAAACACTCAGAGAACGTGAGGAGGATGAAGGATCGTATTCGACATTTTCGTCATCGCCCACTTTATCCGATGGACTTGATGAGGTGGACCGTGAGCACGACCAAGGTGATGGCAATGACAGTGGGACTGAGAAATATGGCGATGACAGTAGTGAAAGCTCAAAGAGTGTTGACAAGGCCAACAACCTGATAACGGACAGCGAACAGCTAATTGGTTCGTCCAGGAGGCACACCTCATTTGAGTTCCGTTTGCCTTGCACCATCAACAATGACGACGATGATAAATATCCATCTCTTAACGACATCGAAGAAGGTTTCTTGAGGAGGCTAGAGTGGCAGGAAGTGAGCAAAGGCGGCGATGAAAAAGACGAAGGAAGCATCTTCTTTACCTCCACCAAAGATGCAGAGCAGCTGAGCTCCTCTGAAACCATAAGTGAGTCTTGCAGGGTAAGTGATCAAACAAGTAGCACTGAAGATGCAGTTGGTACTAACAGCATTGAGCCGACAATGCAAGTGGCGACCAGGACCGAAACTACAAGCGAGAAGGCCACAAATGCCAAAGAAGTGAGCTGATCATATGCTCATTGCAAGGATGCAGATTTATCTTTGGTTGCCAATCTGTCATCCGAAGGGGAGCCTTGGCGCAGTGGTAAAGCTGCTGCCTTGTGACCATGAGGTCATGGGTTCAAGTCCTGGAAACAGCCTCTTACAGAAATGTAGGGAAAGGCTGCGTACTATAGACCCAAAGTGGTCGGACCCTTCCCTGGACCCTGCGCAAGCGGGAGCTACATGCACCAGGTTGTCCTTTTTTTTTGCCAATCTGTCATCCATGTAATGTAACGCCTAGCTGTAACTTCCACGCCTGCGTGTCATTCAGTCAACACAGGGTTGAGGAACTTTGTCGCAGTAATTTTCCGTTGCTGAGCTGTGTAATTGATTACTCATGTGGTTTAATTATGCCGAAATGCCTAGTTTCTGTTTTTGAGTAAGTTGGAGCTGTAGAGGCACACTAACTTGCTTCTAAACCACCCATAACCTTCTGTGAGTTTTTTCCCCTGAACTCTTGCTTCTGATGCAGCCTAATGAATTGTTTCGTAAAGCAGCATGCCACAAATAGAAGGGCTAAGAAAAGGTATTTAAGGGTATCAGGAGATCAACAAAATAAATGTTTCTGCATTGTCGTATTCTTCTTGACATAATTTGCAGGACAAAAGTTGGAATCCAAGTATCGAACGATATGCAGCTTAAAATATTTAAGATCATCTCTGTCCAAAGCATTGTAACAATCTCAAACTCTTTCACTACATGGAGGTATTTTTAGTACACACCGGACATCACCAACTATTTCACTAATAAATTCTGCAGAAGAACAAGCATTCATGTGCACAACGAGTCATGCAGGATTTTCCCAATATGATCTACAATACATAGATATAGTAATGGATAAGTTGGTCGCATACCACGAAACTTTGCACGCACCTTGTGCACATGAGCATCTTGGATGCCTAAAAATTTCAGTTTTTTAAAAGTTTGTTTACTTTTTTTTTAATTTACTGTTCATCGGGTGTAGATGGGCCTAGGCACCGTTTTGAATTATTGTGAGTGAACTGGTCTTCTCTAACCAAAGGAGCATCACAACCTTTTCTTACATAAGTCCTGCAGTTGTTTTCTCTTTATTGCAGTCTGACGCCTTTTTGTAATGAACGATGTGGTTGTGGTTGTAACTTTGCAGAGGTTGGAATGAATGAATTTCCGTCTTTGAATTTTTTTTAGCTTTCGACCATCTATGGGTGTTGAACTTTATGGTGCAATTTTATTTCTCCATTGCAACTCTAGAATTCTAACATCTACATGGCTGCGTCACATGAGCTCGACATCATACTTTTCTGATAAATTATGGTTAGAGGCCTAGTGGTGTGTGCTGGAATGTCACTCTTTCATGGGCATATTATTAATTGGAAAATCTCAATTTCGTACCCGTAGCTCTTTCTCTCAAGTCCAATTGTCACCCCCAACTAAAAAAAGGCTAAATTTCATCCCAACACATACTAATTCCTACTAACATTTCATATATGAAACTATCATGTGGATTCTTTTACAAACAATGAACCAAAAATACCGCCACACAGAACAAATGAATATTTTTTGTTGTTTCTACAATTATCCATGAAAAATAAAAATGACTAATACAACAAAAATCCTGATGTGTTTTTTTTTTGCGGGAAGATGTGCTATATTTCTACAAAATAAGTATCTAAGGAACAAAAGAGGATGGCTGCCGAGAACATATGGAAGTGTGAGGAACAAATTTTGTTGTCATATAAACAAATATACCAAACAAATAAAGTAGATAACCTTGATGGGAAAAGAAAATTTGTGGAACAGCTAAAGTTCTTGCAAACATAATATATATAAGAAAAGCAAATTCCTTGGAAAAAACAATAATGACTATCATAAAATAATTGAAAATGGAAATATAGAATGCTAGAACACATGAAGAAAAAATTTCTAGCAAAGCAATTAGAAAAGTGTGTAAATAAAGGATCAGGAAAAAAATAGGAATCATGCGAATAATTTCTACTCAACATATTTTTGCAGGGAAAATAATTCGGACAAAGCTAAGTTGTTTTCTCGAATTTTTCGGAAAGTTTTGGGCAATTGGGCTCTTCCCAACCCTAAGGTCGCCATTTCTGTTCCTAAAAAAAGGTCGCCATTTCTGAGAGCTCCCATCCGAATCGCCATGTCCTCCCCACCATCGCCGCTGCCGGCGAGACGGCCGCCCACCTGCTCGAACCACCATATGCACTCTCGGCGACGACCTGCTCCGCGAGATCTTCGCCCGCCTCAGCGACCTCCCGAACCTCGCCCGCGCCGCTTTCACCTGCTGCGCCTTCCTCCGCGCCGTCCGCTCGTCCCCCGTCTTCCGCCGCCGCTTCCGCTCGCTCCGCACGCCGCACCTCCTCGCGTTCTTCGTCGAGCGCGAGATGGACGCGGTCCCGGTCTACCTCTCCCCTTGACGCCCCTTAGAGCAACTCCAGCCGTTGGCCCCCCAGGAGGGGCTAAAAATTGCCCCCTGGGGGCGCACCGGTGCTAACCCGTGCGCTGGGGGCGTGATGCCCCCCCGTCGCGGCGCCCATGTTATTTTGAAAAATGTAAACATGGCACAAAAACAGCGCAAATTCATTACAAACTTCGGCGAGTTCGTTCAAACTTAAACATATTTTACAAAAAAAAGAAAAAACTACTAGGGGCCGCCACTCGCCGTCTCCATCGCCGCTCCTCGCCGTCCGCCTCGCCGCTCCCCGCCGCCCGTCGCCCGCCCTCGCAGTTCTACATGCCGAGTAGGCTGTAGAACCGCGTGTAGTCGCCGCCGCCGCCGTCGTCGTCGTCGTCATCGTCGTCGTCGTCGCCTCCTCCGCCGCCGCCGTCCCTGCTGCATCCCTCCCCCGGTTGGCGTGGCGGATTGGACGGTCCGGGGGCGGCCTCCTCATCGTCGCTGTCGAGGATGCACTACAGGAATCAACTACTTTGCCATCTGCCACGGCGGACGGCAAAGGCATGGATGGCGGACGGCAAAAGGGGACGACAAAGTAGGGGACGGCTAAGAGCTATGTTGCCGTCTGCTTCGGGCGGCTGACGGCAAAGGGGCCTTTGCCATCAGCAGCGGACGGCAAAGAATGCAGACGGCAATAAATGCGCTGTTACTCCGTTAGGTGGTTAACCGCAGGCCTTTGCCGTCCGCTGCTGACGGCAAACTTCGGAAGGCCTTTGCCGTCCGCCGAATGATGTTAGCCGACGTCACTACACGGCAGGCCTTTGTCGTCCGCCGCTGTAGGCAAAGTTTTTTTCTCTTTGCCGTCAGCCACTGTAGGCAAACTGACCAAATTGGTCAGCCTCCCAGGAAGCACAGTTGCCTGCCACGTGGCCTCTTTGCCGTCCGCTGCTGATGGCAAAGAGCCCTTTGCCGTCGGTGGCAGACGGCAAAGAGCCTGCATATTGTCTCTTTTTCTGTTTTCTTAATCCAAAAATTTTCACAGCAAATATATATGACATATATAGATATATTTCACAGGGCTATTTTGAAGGAAATATGCCCTAGAGGCAATAATAAAGTTATTATTTATTTCCTTATTTCATGATAAATGTTTATTATTCATGCTAGAATTGTATTTACCGGAAACATAATACATGTGTGAATATATAGACAAACAAAGTGTCACTAGTATGCCTCTACTTGACTAGCTCGTTAATCAAAGATGGTTATGTTTCCTAACCATGAACAATGAGTTGTTATTTGATTAACGAGGTCACATCATTAGTTGAATGATCTGATTGACATGACCCATTCCATTAGCTTAGCACCCGATCGTTTAGTATGTTGCTATTGCTTTCTTCATAACTTATACATGTTCCTATGACTATGAGATTATGCAACTCCCGTTTACCGGAGGAACACTTTGGGTACTACCAAACGTCACAACGTAACTGGGTGATTATAAAGGAGTACTACAGGTGTCTCCAATGGTCGATGTTGGGTTGGCGTATTTCGAGATTAGGATTTGTCACTCCGATTGTCGGAGAGGTATCTCTGGGCCCTCTCGGTAATACACATCACATAAGCCTTGCAAGCATTACAACTAATATGTTAGTTGTGAGATGATGTATTACGAAACGAGTAAAGAGACTTGTCGGTAACGAGATTGAACTAGGTATTGGATACCGACGATCGAATCTCGGGCAAGTAACATACCGGACAAAGGGAACAACGTATGTTGTTATGCGGTCTGACCGATAAAGATCTTCGTAGAATATGTAGGAGCCAATATGGGCATCCAGGTCCCGCTATTGGTTATTGACCGGAGACGTGTCTCGGTCATGTCTACATTGTTCTCGAACCCGTAGGGTCCGCACGCTTAAGGTTACGATGACAGTTATATTATGAGTTTACATGTTTTGATGTACCGAAGGAGTTCGGAGTTCCGGATGAGATTGGGGACATGACGAGGAGTCTCGAAATGGTCGAGACGTAAAGATTCATATATTGGATGATATGGTTAGGCCAAGGGGTCAAGCCCATGAGGCTTTAGATCGGTGCAAAAGGAGTTTTGCGGAGTTCAGGGGGCCAAACGCCGGAGACCCTGGCGTCTGGCCCTGGGCCAGACGCCGAGGCCCATGGCGTCTGGGCCAGACGCCAAGGATTGTGGCGTTTGGTCCTGGAGTCCGAGTGGGACTCTTGCCTTTCGGTAAAAACCGACTTTGAGGAGGCTTTTGCTCCAAGTTTCGACCCCGGGGCTCAACATATAAATAGAGGGGCAGGGCTAGCACCAAAGGGACAACAATTGATCCCTTGGATCTCTTAGCCGTGTGCGGTGCCCCCCTCCACCATAGTCCACCTCGATAATATCGTAGCGGTGCTTAGGCGAAGCCCTGCGACGGTAGAACATCAAGATCGTCACCACGCCGTCGTGCTGACGAAACTCTCCCTCGACACTCGGCTGGATCGGAGTTCGAGGGATGTCATCGAGCTGAACGTGTGCTAGAACTCGGAGGTGCCGTAGTTTCGGTGCTTGATC